TGGGGCCAGAACTGTATGAACCCAAATGGCACAAATAACACTGGTCAAAGAAAATTTTCCAGATTTTTTTTCCCTCCCTCCACATTGATTCCATCAATTCTTCACTAAGAAATAGAAGGTAATCATATTAGTTCTAACGCATCACAACAAAGATATTATCACTAGATGCAGACCAGATATGATATAGCTGTAAATGTGCAGCAGTGAAGATTTTAAAATTACATCTAGGCAACCAGCATCACCTTTGCACATGGTCCAGCATGCAATGAGACTGATTTATAGTATATCAAAAGTATTCAACCTAAAATGCTAACCTATTATTTCCTCAAGTTAATTCCTGTGTGCCAGAAAATGATCATAATAGATCATTTTCCTTAAGAGATGTTTCTAGTGTTTGTTTCTGTCAATATAAACATCAGAGACATCCACTTGCAGGAAGCATGTCTTTAATGAGCCAAAATGCCACATCATAATGTAGATGGTTGGAAACTATGGTGTTAAAGTTATATATGGTTTCCATGCCCAAGCTTCTGTCTCCTGTACTGCAGACTCCAACCCTTTCAGTCCTTTGCCTGGAAAATATGGTCTGCACCATTTTCAGGCTATTATGTCCCTTTTCTTTCCTCCAGAAAGCAGGAAAAACAAAGTACAAACGTTTGAAGGCTCTCTAAAGGTTGTCCTGATGCACCATGGATACGTTCACTTCTAACAGCACCAAATGAACAATACAAGCTCTTGCATTTCCATGAAATCTGAGGTTAAAGCAGTTTACATTGCAATAGGAGAGACATAAGCCAAATACTGTTACCAGAACTGGGAGGTTATCTTTCACAAAGCTCTCTACAGTGTCAAAATGTGTTGTAAATATCTTGCAAATATTTCTTGCATAGAACCTCTCCCTAAATTCAGCCTACATTCCTAATTCAACCTGTTGCACATTGATGTGGTTTGAAGGCTAAATTAACCCAGGGCAATACCCAGCTCATTGGAAGTCTGAGACATTTAGCCAGAAAAAAACTATGTAAATTATATTAACGCTAATATAGCATTTGTTCATTCACTGGTGACATCTCTAGTATTGATGATAGTGGGGAGATGTGAAACAAGGCCACTGCATTCTTTACAGAAGGGATGAAGTCAGCATAGCTATTTTGTAATAAGGAATTTGCTTCTGGTATCTAAGATAACGCTGCAGGGTAACCAGTGGTGAAGAATGACTTTTGGATTCTGTCCCTTGTACTTCTCATTATTTTTAAAAATGAAATGAAGACTAGTTGGTTCAATAATATTCATCTTATATTGCTACAAACTGATTTGCACTGTTCATCTAATTCCATTCATCCCTGGAACCTGTGCTTCAAGCCTCAAGATGGTCTTTCTTCCCACAAAATAAAATCAACCCCTTCATAAACTTAATAAAAATACTGGATAAACATTAATCAAACTACATATAACTTGTAAAGGTGCCTGTTTGAAAATGTTTTGCATTCAGTCAAACTAGGGCTGTTAGTTTTGGCTGCTTCAGTGTCGTGAAGGGATAACATTGTGTGTGTGTGTGTGTGTGTGTGTGTCAATGCCAGTGCATTTGAGGTGGATGTGGTCAACTTGTTTTGGCCCAAACTTTGACAAACACCAACTGTGGGGGGGAAGTGTCTAAGAATTGTATCTGTATTTTGTTATCTGCAATGCTGTTATCAAGAAGTAGAAACACAATAGTTATATACCACTGATGTTTTTGTTCTGCTACTAGAACAACTGTATTATCCACTCACAGGACTGCATTGACATAGAGGAGGCTTTTTAAGAGATAAAGGTAAATCTATGCACATTGGCTGAAATTCTATAATTAAAGGTCACTGGACACGGGCAAGGGTCTGAACGCAGAACACTGAGGGATTTACACACCTGTGTTTTGCATTCACACAGCTTGGGGATTTCATCTACGGACTTGCAATATTAATTCTTGCATGCATTTGATGTTATGTACTTATGAGAAATCAGTGCACACCTCCCCCCCCACCCCTGCCCAGTTAATCAGGACTAGAATTAGTGTCACAAATATGAGGTTCCATATTCTGTAGAGATCCACTAGCTAGCTTCCCTTTTGAACAATAACAAAGCTTCAGGAGAAGCAAAAATATCCTGGCTGAAACATAACGTTACTCATGAGAAAAGTTCCACTGAAGGTAGTGGAAGTGCTTGGTTTAATAAAGGTTCACGTATCAATAAGCATACATTGTAGCTTGTATAAGACAAAGACCAGTCACCATTTCAAAAGGATATTTTTAAGAGGCAAGATTTATGTTGGCAGTATCTTTTTTTTTGAGCCAACTGCATAGTTGGGATGGACTTATACAAGCTTCAGGGTACCACATTACCCTTCTCAGGTCTCTGGGAGACAAACAGATGCTGGCAATTTGCCTTCACTTCTCACAAAAGAACCTTTTACCAGTCTGCCAGATACAGATTTGCCTGCTTAGCAATGTTGAAGCCAAATCACATTCATTTTTCTGGGTTTCCTTCCTGCCCTTAATTTTAAAGCAGCAGAATACTGATATCTCAATCTAACAAGGCGCTAATGTATGTGCTGATGATGATCTCTGTTCAGGAAGGCATTGAGGCACTTAGTTTAGTACATACTTAGTTCCCATTAAAGTCTATCAAAGTTCAGCACACATTTAAATACTTTGCCTCATTAGGCGCTCTGCTTCCAGTAATCGGTAATTTCAGTACACAGTGATACAGTGCGGCCCATGTTGGCTTTTAAATGCTTCAAATAATAAAAATAATACATTGGGTAAAAAATATCTTACAGCACCTGAACTCAAGTGCTGTTTAACATTTTAACTGAGATGACATGAGGCTTTTCTACATATAAATCCTTTGAGACTTGATTAAATGTGGTATTTATTAATTTAACGTGAATTTTTGCAGCAGTTTTCTTTCCTCTTATCATTCTAAATGAGGGAATAAGTTATGGGAATGGGAAAAAATACTCTGATGTTAAAAGCATGGACGAAGAAAGTGCACAGCTAGGTGAACATTTTCTCTGAATTTTTTTTCCAGTGACAAATGCAAATTTAGTCATCAAAACTTGTTGCAAAGCCATCTTTGCATTTTCAGTGTCTACTTATTCCTTATTCAAAAAAATTCAAACAATGTTTTTTTCTGTTCAAAAATGTCAACAAAATGTCAAAACTTCTTTCAAATTTACTTACATGAAACACTGATAATGCCTAAACCCTAACCAAAAAGTTTAGTTTTGCATCAAACGAAATAGTTCATTTGGCCCAAAACATAATATTTACTTTTCAATGAATTAACATATTTGAAGAAATTTTTGAGCCTACTCATAATGATGCTGTTATTTTTCATAACTGTCAGCGAGATGAAAATTAATTTGTACAACTTTGGGGTGAAAGTTCCCTAGGCAATTTATAGGCATTCAAAGTAACTGTAGCAAAAGGAGCAAGACTTTTTAAATGCTACCTCAGTTTCACTGACCTTCTCTGCTACTGGGAACCCACGACCTTTCTGGCATTATCTATGCTAAATTAAAATTCTCAAAATAAAGTTATACCCATGAGTTGTTCACTTTTTCCTGTTTAATCGATTATCACTTTTCCTCCAAAGTACTTCCATAGATAACACTAGGGAGCCTGGTTTTCTCTGATAAAAGTAGTCCAAAATTTTCTGATTAAAACCTCCCAAAAGCTGCATTTTTCCCTGGTTAAAATTAATCATCTCTATCTATCTATCTACATAGCAATGTTTAATTTATATCTATCTATCTATATAGGTATCAGTTGAACACAATATTTTATTGATATATTTACAATTTTAAAGCTATTTGGAAGCCTGCCAGTGTGTCAATTGCTATAGTAAAATAGCTTCTATACTATAAATATTTTGACATTCAATTTTGGTTTTTTTATCATGGAACTATCAGAGATCCCCCTGCCCTGCCACACACCAGGATGCGGGTCAGCTGCAAATATGCCCCCCACTGATCTGTAGCACTGAGCAGCCCTAATAAGCTGTTCTGAAATGATATCCTTTAAAGCAGATGCTCCACATTTTTCCATGGCAAATGGAAAACCTGGATCCCTGGATATCAATCATTGTATGCACTGACTTCCCTCACTAGAAACACTGCTTTCAAATGGTAATTGTCTTTTTGTCTGTTCTCAAGGATTGAGCATGGTACATGTTGCATGCTTGTATCTTGATTCTAATCTAAAGCACCCGAAAGCTGTCATTTTCCTTTGCCCCCCCATCATACTTTAAGTGATAATATAAATCTGCAGATGGTTGCAAGTAATTAGGTGAGTAATGACCACTATAAGAGAATTAAACGGGGTACATCACCAGCATACCCCCTTTCTAGCATCAAGATATTACTCTGAAGTCCAAGTGAAACAATTTTTAATGTTTCTAAGGATCTCCATATGTTTTTACCACCATACCACTTTTTTGTCACCTTTTTTAAACACAAAAAGTACAAAGTAGGGTAGGATGCTATTTTTGTCAGTCATTCATTGTTCAGAAGAGAACACCTACAAAAGGGTAAAACTTCTTGAACTATGAATAGTAAGTTGTACATATTGCTAGTACAACTGGATACTGAGTTAAAGAGCAGACAACCGTTTGGACAATTAGACAATTTGACTGACCGACTATTACGACAGGTGGTAAAGCAACTAGTTCTACCTCAAAGCTACACATTTGCTTGTGTAAAACTGTGTTGCTGCAGTTATTGTGCAAAAATTCAGGCACTAAATATATGTTATAATGGATTTTAGTGGGGATACTACAAAAAAATCATTATTTCATCCAAAATAAAATGGTAGGAATTTTAAAAACAGTATTTCACTTCCTGCCCTAAGGCATCTTGTGTTTCATTCCTAGAGATGACTGCATCTTGATGACAGAGTGAATATTGCTTTTAATACACATACAGACAAAGTAGGTATTATATGTAAAATTATGTACACATAAGCAAACATACACATACCAAAAATATTTATAAGGTTATTTAGGACGAATGGCACTAAATACATTTATTAGGTTTTGGAATTTTCATTTCTGAAAAAAATGAAGTGGATATGACAAATTTTCTTTCTGTACACAGAGAAAAAAACACACTCAAAATCTGGAACATTTTCTTACCTCAATATCTTCTTTGTAGCAAAGATACAACTATGTAACATACATCAAATACTGTTTATTGCAGACTTCCAGCTGATTCATGTGAAAAGGCACTATGAAAATTAATTAAACTAGGTGGATTAAATCTTTCTAAATGAAGTGATGATCTTTATACAAGAGAAATTATAGAACATTGTGACAAAAATCATTGTGTTTCCAAAAATAACATTTGCTGGGAAGAAAGTTTTTCCCCTTCAGAATCAATCTTTTTTTTTTTCAAAAGATTAAATTTATAAAGAAACAAATAGCTTTTTACATACAGAAAAATTGACATTTATGATCAACACAAAAAATCTGGATTATACTCTTCTTTAAACTAGTTTTGTTACAAACAAAAATGTAAGTCTATTAAAAAAATACTGTGAATACCTTTATGGCTAGGTCTGACCACTTCAAGCTGACTTGTGGGTTTAGTATTTTCTATTCATTTTTACTGCGTAATATCATGGTTTGTCATCAATGAAGCAGAAATCAAAACGCAGAATATTATTTGCTTTCAACAGATTCATTAGTAATAAAAAATCTTGCAGATGATACAAGAATAAGTCAGTCTACGTTTCAAAGGCTTGAGCTGCTGCTCTTATTCTATGCATTTCATCTTTGATTGCTGGCATCAAGAACTTTTAAATAATCTAAACACCCTGCAGTGTGACCCTGCATAGGAAGAGGAAGACCGAGCCAAAAAGAAAGAATCATACATATATTACAGCAACAGACGGAATTCAAAATCATAAATTACTGAAGGGTTCAAGTACATTTTATTGCTGGCTCAGCTTCATTGGAATGAACCAAAAGCAACATTGTATTTATTTATCTGTAAAGTGAGTATGAAATGGTAATTTCCACAAAGGCAAACTTGTCTTTGGGAGTAACTGATTCTCACGTGCTGCAAACTTCACTTAACTTCCATTGTGTTTACTTTTTTAAGTGGTGAGAAGCTGGCAGCAAGTACTTTTATCGACTGGCTGCCTTGTTTCTGTATGGCGACAGGTTATATCTATCTACAAAATAAATCAGACATCCCTGTTCATCGCTTCCTAAAACAAAGCTTGGTGGAATAATGCCAAGGACAATGAAATTGAAGGAAAAGACTCAGTGCCCACTTCCTTCATCAAAGGATTCTACTCCTGAATCTGTGGCAGTTGCACTGATTTTTTCTTGTCGTCTTCTCATAATTTCTTGTAATTCTGAACTACCACTGCTAGCCTGTAAATGAAAAACAGAAAATGGGATAAATGTGTGATTCTAGTAGATAACACTTCAACAATAAAAGGAGGAAGGTATGCAAAGTTAGGGCATGTGTGAAGTCATGCATTCATATAGAAAATGCTCCATTCAACGTACCACTTATGTGTTCAGGTGGTATTTTGGACAGGGATGGACATATTTTCTGAATGCTGCCAGTCTGATTTTCACTACTGTTGAATATCTAGCTCTCACTGAAGCCACTGGGTGCTACTGAGTACACAAGAGTGAACTCCTGACCCCAATAAAAGTTAACAGTAAATTTGACTCTGGGTGAATTTCACCCCTTATAAATGAAAGATCGCTTCCTATTTTTTTAAATGAGTTTCCTTGTTAGCAGTTTAGCACCTTGTGACTGGTTTGCACCAGTCCATGGCATATCATTAAGAAAAAAAATACTGTGAAATGTTATTTACGATTCTACTTTTAGCTTGGAAATGATTATAATTTTGTTTTTCTGCCCTCTGTACAGGTATCACAGTGCATGTTAACTAGATGGGAGACTTCCACATTTTATAGCACTTTGAATGTAATTAATAGATTGAAAAAGTTGGATCCCAACCCATGATTTACGTAGCCATGTAACAAAATTACCTTACAGCAGGATGTATATCTTGACCTACGTGCCTTCTGATGTTATCAGTATTTTTCGTATTTAAATCGGCTAAGTTATGAAGAAGGTTAACAATTCTTGAATTGGTTCCTAATGCTAGCCCCTTACTATCTATATATTCCTAATCAGATACATTACAAGGTATTATCCACTAAGCTATTTTGCTTTGAGTTAATTGTGGCTTATGTATTCATTCATTTATTAGATGTATAGGCCACCCTCCACAGAAAAGGCTCAAGCCAGGTTTGAACAAAGTAAAATTAAAAGTAGAGAACCTGGGTATTGTTTTCAATTTTAAGGGTTCCAACTTCTGTAGCCACACCAATAGTCTCATTACAGAAGGTTTGAAAGCACAGAAAGCGCATGGATTGAAGTTGTTCCATTTTGAGGGTAACGAGTAAAATAAACCAAGAGATAATATTCTGAACTTGTGCAATACTGTACACAGCTCAAAAATTTTAAGTACTTGACAAAAAAAACTAAGAAATGAACACACACCATCACTGTGAATACAACACACAACTTCACTTCAATAAATGAGAAAATGGAGACCTGGAGAGATGAAAAGCCAGATTCTTAGCTGGACTAAGTTTTTGCAGAGCATATCTTATACAATCTGATTTTAACCTCTCTGAAGAGCCTGTCCTGTGCCTGAGATGTTGCTTGCCTAATCACTAATTGCAAAGTTAGCTTTGAGCTGAGAATGACAGTCTTGGAGATGTGAGCAGCACTCTCTTCTCTTTTTCCTGAGAACTGAACTCCAAAGGGTTTGCTGAAGTCACCAGGCAAAGCTGAGAATAAGTGAGATCTCCTAACTGACAGCCCTTAGCTATGGGCAGAGAGCCATGCTTTTTACTTCATGTTCCTCAACACAGATCAAAATGCTTCAAAATTACTCTCTTAACACAAAGTCACTTAAGAAGGGAAGGGAAGGGAAGGGAAGTGGTGCTCGCTCCTACCCTGGGTGTCTTCAAGAGGAGGGTAGATAATCACCTTGCTGGGGTCATTTGAACCCAGCACTCTTTCCTGCCATGGCAGGGGTTCGGACTTGATGACCTGCTCAGGTCCCTTCTGACCCTACCAACTATGAAACTATGAAGAAAATTAACACAACAGAAAGAAAGTTGATACAGTAAAAACATTTTAAGAAATCATTTACCTGCTGCTATGGAATAACAGGAAATCCTAAACACCTACCTTCTCTTTCCTCCCCTGACCTCCCCTCCACACCTGAGTCTTTAATTAGACCATACTTATCTAATGGTTCCAGGAAGCCAATTACAAGTTTTGCTTTCTCTTCTGCTTTTGAATTCTAATTTAATTCAAAGACTGAACTGAGGATTTTCAGTCAGTCATCATTAGAAGAATGAACAGAAACCTCAGCAGAAGATAAAGCAAAATACTTGTGTAAATTTTTGCACTTAATGTTTTGGTTTCTCCCCCCTCCCTGCTTTTGGGTACAATAACTACTGAATTCCAACCACCTCAGGTAAAAGTATTACTTTAATGGCTAATTGAAGAGTTGGCCATTGGCAAGGGAGGGGAGGGGTGGAGGGAAGGATGTAATATTTAGTTTGAGAGCACAGTGGTGAGAGTGCTAGGAATGGCATGGGATTACAGAGAAGACCAGGATTAAGGAGAAGTTTGTCAAAGAGCGCGGGGAGAAACAGTCCAAAGGAACTGGGCAGGAAGCTTTAGTTAAGTCATTACTATGTAGCCTTATTCTCTCTCTCTACAGTACTATTTGTACCCCATTAACTTCAGAGTCAGTTACTGTGATACTGTTCCAATTATTAGATATGGGATGCTGGATCTAGAGTAGATTGAATCTACTCATCTATTAAGTATGTTAGCTCAGTCTCCATAATTAAACGTACATGCTAGTGGCTATTCATATATTTATAAAAGCAAGTACTGTTCTTCAATAATCTGTAAAATAAGGGTTATGCGAGTTTAACAATTTTTAGGCAGTTTCACAGGCTTCTGTTATTTGAATTGCTTCTATGTTGAGTGACATTATATATTAAATAGAGATAGATATTACCATATTTTATTATACACAACATGCCACAGAAGATATGCACTTTGTTTCTGAAAGGTAGAATGAAGACAAAAGATATTTTTTCCTTGTAGTAAGTAACTGAGTAGCAGCAGCTATGGGGCTGAGCCTGCTCACTGTTCTGCTTGCAATGGATCACATGCAGACTCACTTTTGCTTTTGCAAAGCAAAAACGTAAAGCCTAAGTGGCACAAACTCCTGTTACCGTATTCTTTCGCTTATAATGTACACCGTGATTTCCATCAGCTGGTTTTTAGAAAAAAGGCACAAGTTTTATATGAAAAAGTGTGGTATTTTTTTCCCAAAGAGAAAATGAGATCATTTTTAGCTAGAGAATGTCAGAAATGGTAAGTGTCATTCAATTACAACTTTTTTTAATCAATTGGATTCCTTTAAGTTAGGACACACTCAACACATCTGATGCAGAACAGTTTTATATGCACAGAAAAATATAAGGCTCCTTTAGTATAATCAAGTATTCCCGGGAGGGGGGAAGAGAGTACCTTGAAGTCTGAAAGAAGGATTTTGATTTTAAAAGTCACATTGTAAGTCAAGTGCAGTCTAGATTTTAATGACTAAATCTTATAGGAGCCAATAGAAAAAACAAACTTTATTTTCAAAGTTCCCATATCTGTGTATTAACACTCTTTAGATAATCTTACTAAATAACTCTTGACCACTCAAAAAAGAACAGAAGCCAAATACAAGTATAAGGAAGGCCCAAAACACAGAGGGAGAAACAACAGACATCAACAAACCAGATACCCATTTGATTTTTAAATTAAGTTCCACTGAACATAATGGCACTTACGTAGATGTTTACAACTACAGGACTACATCTGTTCACAGCAGAACGCTACAGCTAATTTAACACCCTGCAGGACACTGCCATACCTTTGGCAGCAGAGGCTATTAACAGCTCCTTTGGGGGTATTGCTTTTGTACAGGGTAGAGTTTAACTGTTATTTCCTTGACCTCCTCGCTCAAACTAGCATCTTTTAAGACACATGGGACAAACATTTGTCTAATTCTTGTTCTAAACATGTTGATCTTTTGCCATTAACGGGATACATTACAAACTGGATATTCCTACATCTTAATATGCACTGGAAATTTCACTTTGATATGAAAAATATTGCAAAAATAAATGGGTGCAGAACTAATTTAAATAGCACCTTCTGTCTCACTTACATCTCAGGGGTTGAGATGGGGGACTTGTGTGAAATTCAAATAAAAATAGTGAAGCTTTAGGCAGAGAGACCAATCCACAGCAAAAGCAAGCCCTCCCACCAACCTTCCTGCTTGAAATTCCTGAAGAGACTGGATTACTCTCCAGTGATAGTCTATCCATGGAAAGAAAAAAATTTTTAAAAACATTTTAACCTATGTAAAACAACAACGCTGTCTGATCCACATTGACCTAATTGTATAGGATACATTATAAAAAAAACCTTAAATTGGTGTTTGAAAACAGTTCTCAATCTTCCCTGGGCATGGACAAACACCCTACAACTGGGTTTAAATGGGGAGGGGTTTACAATCTAGTTATAACATCTTGATGTTCTCATACTGATACAAGTTAGTTAAACTACCACAACTTTCGTCTTAAAGAGTTAAAGCTGCAGCAGTTTTACTACGCTGGTCTTGTCCCAGAAATATCCAGATGTAACAGCTGCATCATAACAGCATATACTGGTGTCCTTTGATAGTGATATAATTGTTATATCAATCTATACCCTCATTCTTGGTTTTATACTTGGGTTGAGATACAAAAATAAAATAACTTTAGCCAGTTAACCATGAATTTGTGGAGGACAGAGACAGCAGGAGGTAAGCAATACAGATGACCTCTTTTTCAGTTTACTCTACCATTATTTCAAGATTATAGTTAAGAAACCTTTCCCCCCCTCCATTTGTTGCAGCTAATCTATAAAGTAGCTGATGTTCACATATTTCCATTTTTACTTGTTTCATTTTCTGTTCCTTTACCCTTTGTCCATGTATTTTCCTTCCTCACCTATAATAAAAAGGGGAGATGTACCCAGCTCTCAAGCAAACACTTCCTGGCAAAATGCTGTTCAGCTCTGTGATAATATTCCTAAGGAAGTATGTTCGCACTGAACCAAGTACAGTTCATTTTTTCCATTACTTACATATTTAGCCATAGTTTTAGAACTACACAAGAACAGAATTCCCACAGCATTAGGAACAGCTCTTCTAGATGTGCTGATTTTCAGCAAATTTAATATTCATGTCAAGTGCTAGACTGATGACAAGAATAAATTCACTAGATGGGGTAGCATCAATGCATACTTGCCTCCACCATTCAGTTTGTGTGCATCAGCCTAAAGCTGGAGGAATGACCAGATATGACAGCTTTCATTCACCATCATTTCCTTATATCTTAAGTTTTGCTTCATTCCTTCTAGCTGGGGGGGGGGTGTGTGTGTGCGTGCGTGCGTGCGTGCGTGCGTGCGTGCGTGCGCAAATAAAAATAAAGTGGCTGGATGGCTAACACTTGACCAATATTATCAAACACGCCATGCCTGCTAACCTTCCTGACTGTGAATCCTTAGGTGCAATGGTGCTTGGCCTCCAGCCTGCAAGTTCATATCTTTGTTTATTGCTGCTCCTCTGCTGCCAAATTTCCAGACCCTTGGGGAGCCCTGCAGGCTGGATGACATAACACTGCACATTGGATTGCACCAATGTGCAGTGGGGCTGGTGCACAGGGTCACCTCATGGCCAGATCTGGGGTCAGGCCAATGTGCAGCCAGTTCTGGCACCAGGGTTGAGACTGGAAGGTTGAGCACCGTTATCCTGGTGGGCGAGACATTCTGAAAAGGAAGGCTTGCAATCTATAGCATCTGTACCTCATGAAAGGACAGACAGAGGAGAACAGAGCAGAGAACACTGCGGAGATCAGGAGGAAGATGAGAAACCCCTCTGATGTCAGTCAGAGATCCCATACTGAGTTAGGCTAGGGATCCTGTTAAGAAGAGATGCCTGAGACAAATGTAAAAGAGGACTAGTTACCAGGAAGAGAAGCCCCATTCTAACTCCAAATAGTTCAACTCTGCTGAACAATGAATATTTCATGATTACTACTTAGTATTTACTGTCTCAACATAGGACTGGTAGCGGCCTTATGAACCATCAAATCTAGTGTTCCACGTTCACAGGTGAGCAATTTTATTCCAATGTTACATAAGAATGCCTACTCTGACCCCTCTTGCATGCTCAGCTATAAAACACCCGATTAAAAAAAATACCCCTACGATAGTTTCATAGTTTCTAGGGTCCGAAGGGACCTAAGCAGGTCATCTAGTCCGACCCCCTGCCATGGCAGGAAAGAGTACTGGGGTCAAACGACCCCAGCAAGGTGTTCATCTAACTTCTTTTTAAAAACCCCCAGGGTAGGAGCCTGCACCACCTCCCTTGGAAGTTGGTTCCAGACCCTAGCCACCCTGACCATGAAATAGCGCCTTCTGATGTCTAACCTAAACCTACCCTCTGCTAGCTTGTGACCGTTGTTCCTGGTCACTCCTGGCTGTGCTTGGGGGAACAGTGACTCCCCCAATGCCTTCTGATCCCCCCTGACCAGTTTGTAACAGGCCACAAGATCCCCCCTCAGCCTTCTCTTGTGGAGGCTGAACAGGTTCAGGTCCCGTAGTCTCTCCTCATAGGGCCTGCCCTGCAGTCCCCTGATCA